AGCTACGTGTGTGTAGTCCTCGTGCATTTGCTTCGTCGATCGGTCCTTTTTCGAGTGCTTACTCTGCAACCACATATATACGTGCATACATGTGTATGTGTGTGTATGTATATACATACACGTGAGTATATCATGGGGCTGTCGCTGTTTCCCACGCTGTCATGACTTCTCTCTTCGTCTCGCTCTTTGCGTTCCCTTGTATCCCGTCCGCTCGACGCCGAGGTTGCTTGCCTCAGGAGCGCGCGCGCTTCTGTATTGTTGCAGCCCTGGGGACTGTGAGGCCAACGTGCTTCCAGTCGTGTGCCGCGCGCTGCTTCGTTTGGTATCATCCAGCGTGGATTTCTCTGCCGTTGCCAGGTCGGGTCGCCAAAGAGTCGAACGCGTCGGAGACCACCGATCCTCGAATCTCGAGGAGCGGAGGAGAAGGAGGAGGAGGAGGAGGAGATGAAAGGAGGAGGAGGTGGAGGAGGAGGGGGAGGAAAATGAGGAGAGGAGGAGGAAGAGGAGAGGGTGAGGATTGAGAGGAGGAGGAGAGAGGGAGGAGGGGGGGGGGGGAGGAGGAGGAGGAGGAGAGGAGGAGAGGAGGAGGAGGAGGGGGAGAAGGAGGAGGAGGGGGACGAGGAGGCAGAGGAGGAGGAAGAGGAGGAGAGGAGACAGGGGGAGGAGGAAAAGAAGAGGAGGAGGAGGGGACGAGGGGGAGGGCGAAGAGGAGGAAGGAGGGAGGAGAAGGGAGGAGGAGGAGGAGGAGGAGGAGGGGGGGAAGGAAAAGGAGGAGGCGGAGGAGGAGGAGGAAAAGGAGGAGGAGGAGGAGGAGGACAAGGAGGGGGAGAACAGGAGAAGCCCTGAACAAACCGGTAACAAACAAAGAACGGCGACGGAAACCGGTCAAACAACGGCGACGGAACCCGTAACAAAAACGGCGTCGGAACCGGCAAGGAAACGGCAGAACGGAACCGGTAAAAAAACGGCCCTGTCGTTTCCAGGGCCCACGAAGGTTTCAAAAGAACATGTCGTGGTAGAGCTATAAGGATGCTGGGACGGCCGGCCCCTGCTCAGCTTGGTGGCTCCGCAGCCCGCCGCGAGCGGGTCCCCCGCGAGGCGGCCCCGCGACGCCCCCGTGAACGTCGCCAGACGACCCGCGCTTTCGGGAAGTGAAATTTCTTGAAGCTGTCGCCATCTATGCGAATCAGGACATTCGTTGCCACGTCGGGAAGCAGAGAGCTGTGCAGTGGGCGAAGGAGCGAGGAGAACAGGTGCTGTGGGTCGCAGCCAGGGACCGCCCTTGCCATGAGGGGGAACAGAGGCGGCCGTACACGGTGGAGGATAAGATACGTTGGCTGGGGTACCACGAGAAGGAGTGCGCAAGCTTGCCCGGCTGGCTGCCGTTGGCCAAGGGGATGCCCGTGGCTTTGGGTGATCACTTGGATCGGTCAAAGAAGCAGCTTCTGCGGGGCCGCGCAGCGACGATCCACGGATGGGTGTTGCACGAGGATGACGTCGTTGGAGATGAAGACGAGGAAGTATTGAGGCATCTGCCGAGAGTGATTGTGTTGGACTTCGATACGAAAGAGTGGCACCTGCCAGGGTGGGAGCCGGGGCTGTATCCGATCTTCCCTTCGAAAGGCCGGCAATGGTTCTTGGGCGGATACCGGAAGCATCCAGTATTAAGTGTGAAGCGCACGCAGTTCATGATCACTCCGGCTTTGGCAGTAACAGCGCACTCTGCGCAGGGCCGGACCATGGCCGCAGTGATAGCGGACCTGGAGACAGGGCGCGGCGTGAGTTGGATGTCAAGTTACGTTGCCATCACGCGCGTGCGCAGGCGGGAGAACTTGTTGATTTTCAGGCCTTTCGATAGGAGGCCGTACAACGCGGGGGAGATGCCAGGCGCGCAGAAATTGTTGCAGGTGCTTCGCGGGGATAAAGTGGACTGGGATGGGTGGGAAGCGGAACTAATGCCACGGGACCAGTGCGAGCGCTGCCGGCGTAGGTTGTTGGTAGAGGCGTTCACGAAGTATGAATTCCAGAGAAAGGACAGGCCGGCGTTCTGTAAAGAGTGTACGGATGAAATGAAAAGCGGCGGCGAAAAATGGTGCACAACGTGCAGAGGGTGGGCATCGAAAGCAGAGGGTGATGACGCCGCGCGCCATGGTAGCGGTCGGAACGCGGATGCTGCTACCGACGACGGGCACGCGAAAACGGTTAGGACAATGTACTGCGCGAAGTGCAGCCATGTCAAAGCCAAGCAGAAGTCGCGGAAAGGCAACGCGAAGTGGAACGAGAGCGTCGGAACAGTGCGATGTTCGAGCAAGACGTGTCTGAAACTGTTTGAAGAGCAGGCGGAAATGTCGAATGCACAGAAGAAGCACAATGCTGCGGGGGAGAGGCTCTGTCGGAAATGCGCGGAGGAGCGGGAGAAGACGGTTACGCGGACGAATTGCGAGGCAGGGAATCGCAAACGGAAAGCGGAGGCGGACGCGAAGCCGCTGACGTGCGCGGCGTGCGGAGGAGCGTTCTCGAACACGACACATTTGAAGCACAACCAAGTAAAAGAACATCGAGCTGCGAAAGGAGCGAAAGTGGTGTGCGGAGGTTGCAAGGAACTCGGGTTCACAGCGCGCAGTTGCCAGGCGTATCAGTGCAGTGGCGCGTGCAAGAGAAGACTACCGAAGTCGGCGTTCGCCGTGAACCCAGCCCATGTCGCGCGCGATGCCAAAAAGGGCACCCTGAAATGCAAGACTTGCACATGATGCCCAATGCGTCGTTCGGTGAGTCGGAACTCGTTTGGGCCGTCTGGGGGGGGGGGGTCTCTTGGGGCCCGATTGGAACGCCGTCGGGGGCACGCGCCCAGGGGGAAAATCATCTGTGACAGGCTGCGGCCGGGGGGTGGCGGAGGAGGGAGGGGGAGGAGGGGGGGGAGGGGGAGGGGGAGGGGGAGGAAAAGGAGGAGGAGGATGGAAGGGGAGGGGGATAAAGGGGAGGGGGGATGTGGGAAAACGAACGGAGCAGAGCAAAAGCGAGAGCTGGCCAGGGAGAGGAGGACAGACAGCGTTGTTCGGCGCGAGCCCTGGCTTCCCCCTTTCCTCTGGGGCTGCGGCCGCGCGCCGCTGGCGGGGTCGGAGCCGCGGTTTCCTCCCGCACTTTTCCTCCTCCCCCCCTCCTTCTTCTCCTCCGGTTTTTCCTCCTCCTCGTCCTCGTCATCCTCCTCCCCGTCTTGCTTCTCGTCCTTTTCCTTCTTCCCCTTCTCCTGCCATTCTTCCCCCTCCCCTTTTTTCTTCGTCGACCTTTTCTGGAGGTCTGGGTCTCGCCCTCTCTCTCTCTCTCTCTCTCTCTCTCTTTCTCTCTTTCCTGTCCTCCTTTCGGGGGCGGCCCTCCTCCCCCTCCTCTTTTTGAAATGCTATCGAGTGGCGCATGATCGTCTTCTTGTTTTTGAAGTTCAGTTGCGTGGACGCCAATCTGCTGTCCAACTCCTCGAGCGAGAATGGTTCAGGCTGTGCTGCCCGCACAGTGCCATTATATTTGATACATCCCCGCCTAGTCAGTCCAGGGTGAGGTTCCCCAAACAGCTGCTGCCTGTCTACCTGGCCCTTCGGCCTTCCTTGCTTCGTCGCTCTCTCTGCTCCGCATTCCTGTCCTCTTCCTGTTTTGTTTGCTTTGTTGTCGCACGGGTATGTGGCCCTGGCCATCACCTTATACATCCTTCTCCTCTGGCTGTGAGTTGGGATTTTGAGGGCGTCCACTCAGGGGCGCAGCCAATTGGACTGCAGGAGGCCTTCGTGTACGTGGGGCCGTTGCGCGGTCAAAAAATATATCCTACTGGCCTTCGGCACATCCCGCCACCGTGCCTGCGTTGTGGGTATAAGGCCTCGTGGATGTTGGTTGCGATCTCGCGGTTGGCCTTTCGGGGGCTTCTGTGAGGCAGTTTTGGGGGCTTTTGGGGCCGTTTGGGGGCATCTTGGGGCCTCATTTGGGCCGCCCGGGGGCCTCCTGGGGCGTCGTAGGGGGCTCTTGGGGGCCCTTTGGTGCCTCTTTGGGGCCTCTTGGGGCCTCCTGAAGGCCTCCTGAAGCGGAAGACTCGAATTCTCACTTCGCGGTCCCCCTCTTGGGCACCTCTGGGGCCCGTATTGGGAACCTCTTGGGCCGTCTTCGGCGGCTCTTGGGCCGTCTTCGGGGCCTCTTGGGCCGTCTTGGGGCCGTCCTGGGGGCTTATTGGGCCGTCTTGGGGCGGTATTGGGGGCCTCTTGGGCCGTCGTGGAGCGTCGGAGTACCGAAAGGGCGAGAAGGCCAAAATCCTTTGAAAACCAAGGGAAAATGAATGATTTTGGCCTCTCGGCGGCCTTTTGGGAGGCTTTTGGAGGCCTCTTGTGGCGTCTTGGCGGCCTCTTGGGCCGTCTGGGGCGCATCTTGGGCGTCTTGGGGCGTTCGTTTGGCGTCTCGGGACCCTCGTGAGCCGTCTTCGAGGCTCCTTAAGGCTTCCTTGGCCCGTCTTGAGGCCCTCTTGGCCGTCTTGGGGCCTCTCGGGGCCTTCGTGGCTCGTTTTGATCCCCTTGTGGGCACCAAAGAGCCCCGTGGTGCGCTCGTCTGCGGCCCGGGGGGGGGGGGTCAAATCGCCGGTTTGGGGCCCCTGGGGGGGGGGGTGAGGGGGGGGAACTATCTCACACGCCTAGAGACCCACAAGGGGTCGGCGGATTTTGGCGTCACTCAAGAGGAGAGGGCTTTTTCTCTATCCCCCCGTCGGGGCGAGAATCCTCGTGACGGTCGTCGTTTTTTGGCCGTCCCAGGCGTCGAAAAGGACCCCCCTGACCACCCGCGGGGCGCCCTCTCCAGGTCCAGGGGGAGGGGGTAGGGGGAGGGGTAAACCCCTCCCGGAAGGGGAAGAAAGGGGTTGAGGACAGAGAGGGCTCCCTAAACCACTCACGCCCAAAGGGCTGGTGGGATTCCCTGCTGGTGGTGGTGGGAGCGGGTGCAACTTCGAAAAGTTCCACCGCAGCTGGAATACTGACGATCCTGGCGTTTCTCGCGAAATCCCCCCTCCCTCCCCCCGAACACGCTTGTGGACACCGGTGAATTTCCCAAAATTGTGTGCTCGAAACCTATACTCAGAAACTCGTGTTCAATCGCATGCCAGGGTCCATCGGAGTTTCTCGAGATTCGGCCGCGGTGCCAAGCTGCTGCTTGAGAAACTCAAATTCACTCTACTTGCTGAAATAATAAGGTTTTTATATCAAAATACGCTACCATAAAACAATTTCTCAAACCGCCTGCACAGCCAGGCGCCCCTCCAGAGGATCTCCGTACGGGCCTGAGGAGACCAACGCATATTTGCCTTTGGTCTTCGAAGGTTATCAGGGTTCTCTCCTTTCCGTGCATGAATTAGGAGGACGAGTGGGTGGGAGAGG